GGACACAACATCTTTGTTAGTATGTGGTGCTGAGGATCGAACCCGGGCCGCATGCATGCCAGGCGAGCRCGCTACCGCTTGAGCCACATCCCTAGCCCCTGGCTTATTTTATTAACATGATGGTCCCTAGTTCCATCCATTCTCCTGAAAATGACGTAGCTTCAGTTTTTTTTTTTTCAGGGCTGAGTAGAACTCCATTGTGTGTGCACACAGTCCATTTTTCTTATCCGTCCACCCACTGATGGACGCCTAGACTGGCTCCATGGTCTGGCTGTTGGGATCTGTGCTGCCATAAATGTGGGTGTGCGTGTCTCACTGTAGAAGACGACTTCCTTCTCAGGATAAATCCCGGGAAGCAGAACAGTGGGGTCATGTGGGGGCCATGCCCAGTCTGTGAGGAGCCTCCACATGGACTTCCAGGGGCTGCACTAGTTCACGTCCCGCCRACAGMGCGGCKCGTCCCTGTTTCTCCTCCTCCCCTCCAGCGGTGTCGTGATGTGGACCCCTGAAGACTGCGTGTAGTCTGACTTGCATTTCTCTGATTGTTAACGATGTAGAAAGTTTTTTACGCATTTGTTGGCCATTTGTATTTCTTCTTTTTTTAAGATTAACTGTTTTATTTTATTGAATATTGAACATGTGATCATGCCAATAAAATAAAAATAAAATAAATATTACATTACAGAAAATGTCTGCTAAAATATCTTCACCAGAAAACGCAACTTAGATTCCTATTTACTTTATTTAAAACAAAACAAAAAACTTCTAAAGTTTTTCTTTTTTGTAAAGTCTGAAAAATGACTGAATCTTGGTAAACATGGTGATATTTAATATCACCACTGATTTCTTTCTTTCTTTTTTTGTTTTTTACTTCTCTTACCTTTCAATACAATTTCCTACAAGGTAGTGTATGAAGAACCGTAAGTATTTTCAGGTCAGATGACGGCAGTGCAGTTTGGTATTTTAGATTGACAGGTAGACATGCAGCTCCAGGTGTCATACTTACAAAGGCATGTCCTGGGTGGGAGAGGCCTCTAGGTGGTGCCTTCCTTCCTTACCACACTGCTCTATTCCACATGCTTTTTTTGTTTTGGTTGTGTGATTTTTATGTAATTTTAAGTATTAATTTTTTAATACATGACAGCGGAATGCATTATAATTCTTATCACACATTTAGAGCCCAGTTTTTCATACATCTGGTTGTCTACACAGTATATTCACACCATCCACACCTTCATACCTGTACTTTGGATAATGATGTCCATCACATTCCACCATCATTAATAACACCTGCCCCCTCCCTCCCTCCCACCCCTCTGCCCTGTCTAGAGTCCTCTATTCCCCCCATGCTCCCCTCCCTACCCACTGTGAATCAGCCTCCTTATGTCAGAGAAATCATTGGGCACTTGGTTTGGGGACTGGCTAACTTCACTGAGCATTGTCAAACATACGGARCGCTTCACGGATTGGCGTGTCAGCCTTGCTCAGGGACCATGCTAGTCTTCTCTGAATCGTTCAGTTTTAGTGTATGTGCTGCCGCAGCRAGCGTGGCATTTTGATGTAAAGTTTTTTGAGCTTTTATATATTCTAGATCTTAATCGTTTGTCAGAAGAGAAGCTGGCCAAGAGCTCCTCCCATTCTGTGGGTACTTTTGTTTCGCACAGAGACTTTTAAATGTGACATGTCCGTTTTTTAACTCTTCGTGTTGTTTCCTGAGCTTCAGGGCTCCTATTGACAGAGCTGTTGCCCTGCGTTGTCTTCATGCTGGACAGCTGCCCTGCGTTGTCATCAAGCTGGACAGTTGACCTACGTTTTCTTCAAGCTGGACAGTTGACCTACATTGTCTTCAAGCTGACAGTTGACCTGCGTTTTCTTCAAGCTGCACAGTTGACCTACATTGTCTTCAAGCTGACAGTTGACCTGCGTTTTCTTCAAGCTGGACAGTTGACCTACATTGTCTTCAAGCTGACAGTTGACCTACGTTTTCTTCAAGCTGACAGTTGACCTACATTGTCTTCAAGCTGACAGTTGACCTGCGTTTTCTTCAAGCTGACAGTTGACCTA